TAGTAGTAGTAGTAGTGGTGGTAGTAGTAGTAATAGTAGTAGTAGTAATAATAAGTCGTAGTAAGTCGTAGTAGTAGAGTAGCAGTAGTAGTAGTAGTAGCAATGGTAGTATGGTAATATGGTGGTAGTAGTAGTAGTAGTAGTAGTAGTAATAGTAGTAGTAGTAGTAGTGGTCGAGGTAGTAGTAGTAGCAGCAGTCGTAGTAGTAGTAGGTGTAGGTCTAGTAGTAGTAGTAGTAGTAGTAGGAGGAGGAGAAGCAGTAGTAGTGGTAATATGGTATTATGGTAGTAGCAGTAGTAGTAGTAGTAGTAGTAGTCGTAGTAGTAGTAGTAGTAGTAGTAGTAGTAGTAGTAGTAGTAGTAGTCGTAGTCGTAGTCGTAGTCGTAGTAGTAGTAGTAGTAGTAGTAGTAGTAGTAGTAGTAGTAGTAGTACGTAGAAGTAGAAGTACTAGTAGTAGTAGTCGTAATGTTGGTAGTAGTTGTTTATTAGTAGCAGAAGAACCAGCAGCGGTAGGAGTCTTAGTAGTAGAGGTAGTCGCCGTAGTAGTAGTAGCAGTAGTAGTCGTAGTAGTCGAAGTATTTGCAATCGTATTAGTAGTAGTGGCAGTGGTAGTAGTAGTAGTAGTAGCAGTAATGATACAGTAAAAGTTTTAGTAGTAGTAGCAGCAGTAGTAATCGCCGTTGTCGAAATATTAGTACTTGTCGTAGATGCAGTAGCAATAATAGTAAACGTATATGTAGTATTGCTCATCGTTATAGTAGAGATTCTAGGTGCATGAGTAGTAGTCGCAGTCGTAGTAGTAGAGGTAGTAGTAGTAGTAGTAGTAGTAGTAGTAGTAGTAGACGTAATAGTCGTGGTTGTACTATTTGTAGTCGTGGTAGTAGTCGTCGTCGTCGTCGCCCTCGCTGTAGTGCTTAACGCAATAGCAGTAGTAGTCGTAGTATTCGCCGTATTAGTATTAGTGGTATTAGTAGTAGTAATATCATTCGGAGAAGGCCTACCAAACCTATTAGTAATAACAATAACTCCTGTAGTAGTAATAGTCGTAGCTGAGTCGTCGTAGTAGCACTGGTGGTAGTAGTAGTAGTAGCAGTAGTAGTAGTAGTAGTAGTAGTAGTGGTAGTAGTAGTAGTAGTAGTAGTAGCCGTAGTAGTAGGAGTAGTAGTAGCAGTGGCAGTGGCAGTAGTAGCCCTAGTTGTAATTGTTCGGATAATAGAAATGCCAACCATAGTGACAGCGGTGGTAGTAGTAGCAGCCGTAGCCGTCGTAATAATAGTAGTTTGTAGTTGCAGTTGTAACAATACTAGTATCTCGTAGTATTAGTGCAAATCACACTAATTGGTGTCGTTGTATTGGCCGTAATCGAAGTCGGAGTAGTCGTAATATTCGTAGTAGTAGCAGTTTAGCCGTAGTAGTAGTAGAGGTGGTAGTAGTAGTAGTAGTAGTAGTAGTAGTAGTAGTAGTAGTAGTAGTAGTCGAAGCCGTTGCCATAGTCGTAGTAATAGTACTAGTAGTAGCCGTCGTAGTAGTAGCAGTAATAGTATTGCATGAGTAGTTGAAGCAGACGTAGTCGTATCAGTCGTATCACCCATAGTAGTAGTAGTAGTAGCCGTAGTAGTAGTAGCAGCAGCAGCAGTAGTAGAAGTAGTAGTGGTAGTAGTAGTAGTTGTAGTAGAAGGTGTAGTGGCAGTAGTAGTAGTGGTAGCAATAGTCGTACTTGTAGTATTCGTAGTAGTAATGATAGTAGTAGTAGTAGTAGTAGTAGTAGTAGTGGTCGAGGTAGTAGTAGCAGCAGCAGTCGTAGTAGTAGTAGTAGTAGTAGTATTAGTAGTGGTAGTAGTAGTGGTAGTAGTAGTAGTAGTAGCAGTAGTAGTAGTAATAGTCGTGATCGTAGTAGTAGTAGTAGTAGTAGTAGTAGTGGTAGGAGCAGGAGTAGTAGTAGTAGCAGTAGTAGTCGTAGTAGTAGTGGTACTATTAGTAGTAGTAGTAGTAGTAGTAGTAGTAGTAGTCGTAGTAGTAGCAGTAGTAGTAGTAGTAGTAATAGTGGTAGTAGTAGTAGTAGTAGTAGTAGTAGTAGTAGTAGTAGCCGTAGTGGTAGTAACAGAAGTAGTATTAATAGTAGCTCGTTGTGGCAGCAGTAGTAATAGTAGTAGCAGTAGTAGTAGCAGTAGTCGCTCTCGAAGTCGCAGTCGTAACCGCAGTGGTCGTTATAATAGCCGTCGTAATAATAGTAGCAGCTGCCGTAGTAGTAGCGGTAGTAGTAGTAGCAGCAGCAGTAGTACTAGTAGTAGTAGTAGTAGTAGTAATAGTAGTAGTAGTAGTAGTGGTAGTAGTAGTAGTAGTAGTAGTAGTAGTAGTAGTAGTAGTCGGAGTCGTAGTAGTAGAGGTAGTAGAGGTAGTAGTACCAGTAGTAGTAGTAGCCGCAGTAGCCGTAGTAGTAGTAGTAGTAGTAGTAGTGGTAGCACACTGGAAGTAGTCGTAGTAGAAGTAGTAGTAGCAT